AAGTGGGTTAAAGAAATGAGGTCCAACTCCAACCCTTTAAATTAACCCTTAGTACAATAGAATTTTATGGAAGAAACTTGTTTTGGCTTAAAACATGAGATAGATAACAAATGAGAGTGATGCCAAATGGGGGCCGCCCCACAATTGAAGAATTCTATTGTATAACAGTTTGCTTGTTATCCTATTCTTCACGTGATAAAAAGAATTAAATAGTATTGAATATTAGTCCATATACAACTATTAAGATAAATAGATAAATAGATACAGCTACACTTTATTTGATCCCTACCCAATGATCCAAACGAGACGATGGATCCATCACTACATAAATCACCATCATCGACTCATCATAGAGTGCAAACAAACAATACTTCTTTTAATACTAAGCATTGACTAGTGTAATTCAAGGTAACAATTTTAAAACTATATATATATATATATATATATTTATATGAACAATTAGGAGCTGATACCTCCTGCAGGTTAGCTAGCACACATAATACAAATCATCAAATCCTTAACTTCAGGGTCGTTTCGACGCCTGGAGTTATGTTCAAGTTGTAATTCAACCTCCTTCTGAAAAATTGAGGTTGATTGGTGTGCTCTTATAATTCACTAGTATAGCCAAACTTGAAGAGGATATAATCCTTACTAATGATGATAAATATGTTAGGTCAAAAGGCTCTAATCAAATCACATCAGCAGAAGTATAATCAAATAATCAATCAATCACATAAGATACAGTAATTTAATATGACTCAATTCAATTGACCTACGTTCACGGATGAAAAAATAAGATTTACTAGTTGTAAAGAATTACAAATATACATCAAAACAAATTAACCACTTAACAATTAATACTCATAGACCCTCTCAATCTTTTCTAGTCCTATAAAGTATTCTTAACCCAAACAAACACCTATTTATGTGTACCATTTCAATACAACCAAATACATACCCATATGCACACATACATCATACCTATGTAGACCTTCTCAGTTTCCTCTAGTTCACTCACATACAAATATACACACACATAAGACGTAAATCTTCAGTAGTCTTATAGGGTGTCTACCCATAAAATCTTATAACTCTCTTTACATACTTTTCTCATACCTAATCATGTAGAGATTTTACTTATTTATAGTCATACAAACTTGTCTATTAAGAATATTTCTCTTCTTAGAATTCTTCTTCTACAAGATAAACTTGTCTATTAAGCATACCTTTTTTTTAAAAAATTTTCTCTTAGAAGTCAAACTTGTCTATTAAGAATCTTCTTTGTCTTAGAATTCTTCTTTTGCAAGTCTTCTTATCCATCAAGCAATATCTACTCAATTCCAAAAAAATCTCTTATGGAATTTGAGTCATTATTCCTAACAATCTTCATCTTGACTCAAATTTCATTAAACATCTATTTTCATACTAGACATGCTTGGTTCCACCTGCAATGAAAGTCTCACAATCATCTTCTTTTGTGTGCCTTTATGTTTCATGCAAATTGATCTTAAAAAAATGAACTCGAATTTCTTTCTTAAATTGAGCTCCTCTAAGCTTGCCTCTTCCTATGTCTCGAACCATGCTTTGATACCACTTGTTAGGCCAAAAGGCCCCAATCCAATCATATCAGCGGAAGCATAATCAAATAATCAATCAATCACACAAGAGACAGTAATTTAACGTGGTTTGATCTAATTGACCTATATCTACGAATAAAAAATAAGATCCACTAGTTGTAGAGAATTACAAACATACATCAAAACAAATCAACCACTCAACAATCAATACTCATAGACCCTTTCAATCTACTCTAATCTTATGGAGTATTCTTAACCCAAACAAACACATACCCATGTGCACCCTTTCAATACAACCACACACACACTCATATGCACCCATACATCATACATATGTAGACCTTCTCAATCTTTTCTAATCCACTCACATACAAATATACACACCCATAAGATGTAAATATTCAGTAGTCTTATGGGGTGTCTACCCATAAAACCCTACAACTCTATTACATCTTTTTCTCATACATAATCCTGTAAAGATTTTATCTATTTATAGCAATACAAATTTATCTATTAAGAATCATTCTCCTGTTAGAGGTATTCTCCTGCAAGTCAAACTTACCTATTAAGAATCTTTTTTTTTTTAGATTTTTTCTTTTACAAGTCTTTTTGTCCATTAAACAATGTCTAGCTAATCTCAAAAAAATCTCTTATGAGATTTAAGTCATTATTCCTAACAATATATATATATATATATATATATATATATACACACAATATTTGAGATGAATTTAAAAATTTAATACTCCAACAGATCACGTTAGTAGCAAGACATCTATCAATTTCAATAGCAAAATTTCCAATCACGGCCATTTGCTTGATGGAAACTTATGTAGGTTGTTGGAAAATTTAGAATATTAACAAAATCAAGTAAGAAAAAGACGCAAACGAAATAGGTAAAAAAATAAAAAGAACCTAGAGGTTTTTACGCTTGCGATCAGCTTCAGCACGTTTAGCAAGATCAGCAACCATGCGAAACCTGTGGCGAGGGTTCTTGACGATGGAGGCTGCACATCTCCATCTCCTTAGAGCTTCCTCGGATGGCCGTTTGTGTTCAACAGCAGAGTTCTTTCTCAAGTAATCCTCCGTGTGTGTGTGTGTGTGTGTCTATATATATATCACTACGTACGTATTGTTGATCTCCTTGTTTCCTTCGTCCTGACTGTGTATGATGATTGATGGATCTGAACAATTTTTATTTATTATTGAAGCTAATTAATCTGCATTCAGGAGAGAAGGCAGAGGCAGAGGCATCAGGTGAATGAACGACGGCTACGTTTCATGGATTAATCGAATCTTTTCATTGTGATGAAGAAAGGTTCAAACCTCGCCGTGATTGGCGGCCGGGAACCATGAAAACAGATTCATTTTTTATGTATTTGCTTTCTGCTGTACGATGTTGGACATATGGAATGGAGGATAGTCAAATTCAAGGAGAGATCCACTACTATATATATATAACCATACGCTAACTTAGCTAGGCTAATAGAATACCTGGTTTTTCAAGTACTGAAATAATTTCTGATTTGATAAAAACCATAAATAAATAAATAAAAACATTCTCCCATAAAACCATCTTTTACCTAGCTTTACTTCAAATAATTCATTCATCTATCTCTTTTGACATATGCATTCTCAAAAGATCAGAGTTTGATAATTAACAATTATAAATTCCCACAAATTCTTCTTCTTCAATTTTCGTAAACCTTCATCTCTTTTGTACACAAAAAAAAAAAAAAAAAAAAGCATTCCTCCAGGAACATCAACATTTGACATTCCATCTCCCTTCAAAATTGATGTCTCAAGTTGGAATCTTCTTTCCTTAATTCTTTCTCATAATAAAATGTCTTAGTTAATATATAAATATAATTCTTTTTGTTTCCATATTAGTTTAATTTTTTTAAAGTTCACCTTCCTAATTATATAAATAATAATAAAATGAAATACACTAGTAATAATATATAACGGAGAGCAAAGCACGCGGGCGGCTCATCAAACTTTAGTGGATCAACAATATTCTTCGATATTGTTCAGATATGGGCAGAGCTTATTCATAGAATTGGGGTGAAAAAGGCTTTAATATCCATTCAAGCTTGGGAATTAGCCGGTCCCGATCCTGCTTCTGCTAATACCAAATTTTCAAGCAAGCTGTGCCTACTTTTAAACAAAAGCAAATGTTATAGATGTTATATACTAGAAACACAAACATTGGTTACAAAATAGGAAATAAAATACCATTCCTTAACATCTCGTGTTCCAAAAGAGATGAAATTAATGGTTTTTCCCTCTCACCTTTTTGGTAACTTTTCCTCTTTAATTTGTTCCTACCAAATACTCTTTTTTTTTTTTTAAACCCAATATCTATAGCTTCTTTCTTCTTTCAAGGACAAACAAATATCTCTATTCTCTTGTTACCATAGTATAAACCTTTGAGATTTACCTTGAATTTTAAAATCTTACATAAAAAATTTTAGTTTATCTTGCATTCTACATAAAAATTTAATAAAAATATAAGAGATTTCATCCTTATAAATAAGATGTTTTAGTTTTGATTTGATAATTTCATATAATTAGACATCAAGAGAATAGTTAAGTGAGTAAAGTATTAAAAGGGTGTAATTAAATTTTGAGTTAAGTTTTAAATAAAAAATCTTTAAAGATTTTTTTTATTCTAAAAATTTCACAATTATAAAATTTATTTATTAATGGATTAAATTTAAAATAAATTATTTTGAGTAAATCAAAATAAATATATTTATGTATTTTTATTTTTATTTAAATTTATTATTTTATATGTTAATATTACGTGTACGTATTAATTTCTTTACACAAACAAACTCTCGTATGAATTTCGTGCCTTGCTTTTATGTTTGTTTGTAGGCAAAGCCACCACACTCAAAAAAAAAAAAAATCATGTTTGTTTTAGACACAGTCTAGAAAAGGATGATAATATAATGATTTAATCACTCTCATCAATTGATCGTTGTCAAGCAATTCTAACTCTTAATAAAAAATAAATAAATACATATATAAATAATGCTAGCGGCAGTGATTATTATTAACAAGTCTCCATCAAGAACCTTTGATCATCTCTTGCGCTTCTAAATGATTAAAGAGAATAAACCACACTAACCAAACAAATCCCTCCAAAAAAATAAACTCCGCTTTTTCCCAAAGGAAACCGCCATACAAGTATCTTTCCTTCCTCACCCCTCTACTTTTCATGTTACCACAACATGACGGCTTCTTCTTATCCCCCTTTTACTATTTGCCACACTCTTTTCTTTATTTGTTTCTTTTGCTCCTTTTTAATTCTGCTAACTTTCCTCCCTTGCCTTTGATTACAGACTTCAAGGCCACAGTGAAAGTATACAAAACCACCCCCCCGGGAAATGAGAAAATTAAACAAGAATTTTGCACCCCCACACACTCACACAACCCCAAAGATTCCACCGAGTGGGAAATGCCCTTTTGTCATACGTGTGGCATCACGTTCAAATCTTACTTTAAGATCTAAGGAATGTCCTTTTCTCCGGAGTCCTGTAAAACAGATGCCTAAAGAGTGAGGGAAGGGCCCATGCTTAATTTTCTATGCTAAATTGCTAATAATGTATTGCTTTGCGGCAAGGAGGAAGTACGGAGCACAGAAAAAAGGAGGCATTACTGAGTCAGTCACATGGGTGGGTAGGACCCACTTACAACCTGGCACTTACATATATGTTATTACAGTTACTATTACAACGAAAGTAGAATCCATTTCTTTTGTGTCAGGTCAGCCACCCACCCTGTTTCCCCTCAATGAACGGCGACATAAAGGCCGCAATGACCCCACCCAATCAATAATCCACTATTGCATTTGCAGGAGAGACTCTAACAATGAGACACATTCTTGTACCAGTAACGTGTATCATACTAATTAAAACTTGAAAAATCAGACAGAAGACATCAATCACATTAGAAGTTACAACTCCTTTTCCTTTTCCTCTTTCTGAATTCTGATGCTTTTAATAGTAAATTTTTTTCTTTTATCTGTCTCATGTCATAATCTAATGGGTTTGACACTGTACTGAGTGTAGCAACTGGCTACAAATAACGGCAGCAAATACATAAAGGTACACTTTGGACTGAGATTTAACTAATGTCTGTAACCTTCCCTCTATCGTCTATGCAGACACCAGTGGGTGTTTCCCTGCTTCTGCAATGCCGTACAAAAAAAGAGTGCGATTATACCCTAACAAACTAAAAAACTAAATGCGGGCTGCCTAGTTGCTTCCAGGGAAACCATCAGAGCTGGAGAAAGTTAGGGGAAGAAATTACAGCTCATGGGTAGTTACAACTACACATCGACCGTGTGATCCTTTTTTTCTTCTGTGCTTTTTACCTGTGGTCCAAACTCAACTACTGAAACAATAGATAACAATTTTACAACAACAGAAAGGAATGGCTGACCCATTTTCTTCACTGCCTTTTACGTATGCATTTTGTATGGTAGTAAGTGGTATATTATTTGATGATGACGACGATATTGGTTAAGGTAGTTCTTATTGTAACGGCGGTTCTCTACAGATCTCTATTGCGAATTTCCTTTTTGTTTGGTTGTACTTTCAGTCCTGTAAAGAGAAGCCAACCTCATTAGAGAAACAAAACATAATTCTGCAAGCATACAAGTATAAGCAAAACAGAAATAATTCAGTAAAGAGAAGAATCCAAAGCTACGCAATTTACCTGAGTATAGGAAGCTAAATTCCAACAGGGCAAGTCGGGCCACCAGTGCCCGCATACATATCAATGGTCCCATGTCCAGACGAGAACCTGAATTGAGGCACAAGTCGAGTTACAAATCATTTTGATGCATGGCATTTCCAACCTTATAAAGATTCAGATTATAAATGTAATTATAGTATATTATTGAATCAATAAGTGACTCCAACTTGCAATAATGTACCTGGGATTTTGGCAGTTGAAAGAGTTGAAAGATGCCATGCCTAATGCATTACTTGCAGGAAGTAAAGTTGGAGAAACCCAATTATTATTAACAGAACAAGCCAAGAATGAGGCATCCTTATCCGCTTCTGCATTGGAGAAAGCAGACAAGTACTCTCCAGAGGCTTTTGTAGGAGAAGCAAAAGGACTATCAGGAAGGTTGTGCTCCAAACTGCAATTAGTTGCAAAAGATGCATAAATTTACAATCAATAGGCTATTTGATCATCCCTGGACTGGAAATCTAACCATAAAGATCTTACAAACAAAGTAAATAGAAATTGTACACAAATCTAAGAAAAACATCCTATTTGCTAATCTCGGTTTTGTCCTGATTTCAATCTGAATGCACAAAGTTCTATTACTAGAATACCTTTCTGGCAGATCACCATCTTCACTATGAGGGCTCTCCTTGCTACGACCATTCTCTTCAGTATTAGCCGATTCTTTATCAGCAGCAGCACCACCAGTACTTGCTGCTTGTTTCTCAGGAGCAGTGGCAGATACAGCTGGCACAGGGCTAGAACAATTCTCTGCAATAAAAGATTGCAAGTCATTTATTTTTCCCAGTATAGAATGCGGATTCATAGGCACGAAGCAAATGATCACTAGATGATTGATTTGTTATATTTGAATAGAACTATGTACCTTGTGGAGCTTCTTGACCGCTGTGAAATTGAGGAAGTACAAGGGACAGGCTGAACAGGTTTGGTGAGCAAGTAGGTGAAGGAATGGAACTTCCAGCAGAAAGAGCCCTGAGATGGTGATGCTTCTTGACATCATGCAGTTGCAGACCCATCAACCTTATATTTTGAAGCTCAAGGGCTTGCTGCAGATCAGCTTGCTCCTCCAACTTTCTCCTCCATAACGTGTCCTGGGTATTGTAAAACATCCTTGCTCCTAATTGCACAGACAGATATTGTTAGGCATATCTACCTCATAAGGAAAATAAACGAAGGACAATGTTGGTTTCTTGGCTTCTGCTTACCAAGCTGAAGGTCAAATGGGTCTCTGGAATCAAGGCCAGTTGGAGTACCACAAGAAGAGAAGTCTCCTCTTTCCACTTGCAGCTGCTGCTGCTTCCTGCAAGATACCTAGTAGCATTAAAAGATCTACATCAAACAAGTCATCCGAAATTAAGATTTTTAAGTGTGAGAGAGAGTGCCTGTACTTGTCCGGGACTTTTCCTTTCTCCTTGTAAGGCTTCACCAGAACACGAGCGTCACAAACAAAATGAGGATTTCCCTTAGCTAGAATGATCTTCACGGTCTCAGGATAAACAAAAGTAACAAATCCAAACATTCTCTTCTGCTGGTATGGTATCCTCACATCTTGAACCGGTCCATAAATACTTCAAGGAGAAACACAATTAATTTAGTAACAAAGGGGTGGAATTGACGAAATTACATCAACATAAAAACTTAAGTACAGTATTCAACAAAACCTGAAATAATTTGACACATCCTCCTCTCTGAAAGTGCTGTCGGCTGGGAAAGTCAAGTAGATCTGTCTTGACGCTGGGTTAACCATTCCTGCTTCACCGTTTATTGAAAAACCGTTCCTTTCAAGCCTGGAACGGTTAAATTTGTTCATATCATCACCCACCATCACAGCGGCAGCAGCAGCCCTATAGTTTCAATCAAAAAGCAATCTTTCAACATTACCACACACCAAAGAATTAAGTCAAGACTCAATCTTTAAGCTCATACTAGATAGCACATGAAGAAATTAATAATCACTAAGTACCTCTGAGTATCATTTTGTTGCTGTTGGAGAAACAAATTTATGCACTTCGGGGAGTAAGGAAAAGAAGCAGAACCGATGAGCTGAGAAGCAGTAGCCAACCTCTGTTGCTGAGCGGATTTAGATCTAAGTAACTCATGACAGTGGTCCATCATCTCAATCTTGTTAGGTGACCCAACCACGGTAGCGCCATCTGCTCCAGCAACCATTGAACCGGACTCCCCAAGCGCACCATGGATAAATCTACAACTATTCCCATTTTTACAGTACCCTCTAGCAAAATACAAGCAGGGTCTCCACCCAAACCCTGAAGCCGGGTCATCAGCTCCCAAAATATCGCTCACAGAGCTACTCCTCCCGTGAAAGGAGCTTCCACAATATGAGGGGAAACCCATGGCGTCAGTGCTACCACAAGCACCAGCAGCTGAACTCGAGGACAAATCAGCTGCTTGCGGGTAGAAGAAATCATGGCTTCTGGAGTTACGATGTGGTGAGCTTTCATTGAGAAAAGATAGTCGGTCTTGAAGTTGTAACTCATCAATCATATCAATTGATCCTCCACTTCCGTAGAAGGGTAAAGAAGAAGGGTTTAAAGACCCACTGCTTGGACTTATCAACTCATCAGGGCTTGGAAGATCAGATAAAGCATTCCACGAAGAACTACAAGAAGTAGACAGGTGGGTAGGAATCGTGAAAGAAGATGGAAGATTGACTCCACCGTTGCTTAGAAGCCTGGAAGCGGATGAGCTTTGTCTTGAAATAGTAACAGGATTTGGGTTGTTTGCAAGAAAAGGAGAAGGAGATGATGGAGTTGAAGGTGTAGAAGGAGAGTTAGGGAGAAGACCAAGCTCCTTTTTTGCCTTGAGAATCACTGAGCGAAGTAAAGCTTCAGGACCAAAGGCTAAACGAATCATCTCCTTCTCGCCATGATCTTTAATGAGCAGTAGACCCATGATTTTGGAAGCATTTTCTGGTTCTAAGTTTTGGATTCTAGAGAACACAACTCTGGTTGCTTCATAAACATCCATAATGGAAAGCACACCAACCCCTCAACACTCTCCAAATATTGTTTAGTTGTTGTTATATATACATTACTTTTTCTCCTTTGGTCTTTGATTTTGAGAGAGTGAATAATTGAGTGTTTTGAGTAAGGTCTTTACAAGTAAAACTTCTTTCTCAACCACAAACTCTACCTACCAACCTGTGACCAGTTAGCAGCAGTGCAGTGTCTATCCTTCCCTCTTTCTCTCTTATAATTCCTGCCAAAAAAAAAAAAACCATGAAGGAATCGTAAAGAAAAGAAGGGGAAAGAGAGTCTAAAGGAGTATTCCCGTGCGGAGATGTAAAAGGAAAAAAACGAAGAAAAACATGGTGGTTGAGTTTCTTTATAAAGCAAATTATATGAGGAAAAGTTACAGTGGCTAAAGGAGAAAAGGTAACAACAACCCTAGCTTTCATTTTTTTCCCTCATTTTCCTTTTCCTTATCACAGTTCCCAGTTCCTTTCCGTTCTCAACTGTTTTAGTGATTAAAATTGAGAAAACAGCTTATGCGCAGGAGAGTACGGGCTTACCCATATAAGATAAGAGAGAAAGATTGCGATTATTAGGTTGATCTGTTTCCGACGAGATGATTAGAAAAAGGGGAAAGGGAGTGAAGTGATGAAGTCTATTGTTGTTGCATGTGTCTTTGAATTAGCGCTTTCAGCTATCAAAAATTACTGCGAAAGCCAAACCACTGCCTTCTTTGTTTCAAAGCCTGTGAGCAGCAGCAACAGTAGTGGCAGAGGAACCATCAATAGCTTCACTGCTGCTGCTATGTTTTTTTGGGTTCTGGAGCCTATAATGGGCAGTCAAAGTTTAAAGGCTTCGAAGCTCTTTCGCTCTTTTTCTCAATCTTTCTATCAATTTCTTTCTCTTTTTTTTTTTTTTCTCTTTATCTCTCTCCTTTGATTGAAGTTATAAATAAATTAAAAAGAAAAAGAATAGCAAGTGGCAGTGACAGAGAGTTTTTGTTTGTTTTTTTTTTTTTTGGCCAATCAGTGAAAGAGTGTAAGTGGATCCAGATAGATCTGTGCTTCAAACCCTTCAAATGCAGCTACTGCACGTTCTCTCGCTTTAATGCTCCCCAGTCCTCACTCTAATCCCCTATACCCCAGTCATCCTCACTCACCCTCTGTGTGATAACTGCATCACAAATCAAATCAAAATTCCCGCAATTTCTTTTTCTTTTGTTTTTCCTCTTCCTCCAGCTTTATAATATTAATATTCTAATAATAAATTAAAATAAAGAACACAATTAATTAAACAAAAAAAGTTGAATAATGCTTTGGTATAAGCATTGGTTTAGTTGATATTTATGAAAAAATTATTTAAATTAATTAATTTTTTATTTGATGAAAATAATGTATTAAATAAAAAATATTTTTAATTAATGTTGAATTTTTAGTTACATTGCTAATCGAATCTCTTGATCTTGATCAAATATTCACTAACAATTATCTTATGCACTCGTATTTGTGATTTGCATTTGGATTTCGATGTTGAGTTAGTGACAACATGACAAATAATGTTCCTATCCTAGTTTTCCCGGGTTTGTAATCTATATTTCTTGTTTGTTGACTCTTAAAAATAATAATAATTATTATTATTAGATTATTATAATTATGGTCAATAATGAAATGATCAGTTGGTACTTAAAGTGTTGGATTAGATTCAATTCTTGAATATTTCTAATATATAAAAAATATTATGGTTGAATGTAATAAAAGGCCTAGTATATATGTAAGAGTAAGAGTAGGAGCGGAGAGGCAGGTACAGGGCAAAAGAAGTTTTGTTGCTTGAAAATAACAAAATGGGAGGTTTGGTTTTGAGATTTGAATGAAGGTTCCCTTTGGTTGGTTGGTTCATCCTTTACTTGAAAAAATGTCGTTAATGAGGAGATATGCCAGCCGGCCAGCCCGCCCGCCCGCAAACAAATAAATGATGAGTGAATCTCTTTAAGACCCCAACCCCACATCACAAAAGTCACTCACTTATTATAATTCACAGCGCATTTCTCTCAATTATACACCCACCTTTTTCTTCACCTTTTTAATGTTTATTACCGTATCATGTGTACAAGAGATCTGAGAAAAGATTATTGCATATTGGGTTGCTTACTTCCACAGCACCCCCCCCCCCCCCCCCCATAGATGGATCCATCATAGATGATCGACGAGGACTGCTCACCCACATGGGCGCCATTGTTAATTATTCTCCTTTTACTTTTTAACTTTGAAGCATATAAACATAATTGCTATATACTGCATTTACCAATTATATACATTCATATAATCCATTTACCAATTATATTCATTCGTATCATCTAATCTCTCGTCTTAATTTGTTTTCAATGTACATATTTGTTGAAAAAGAAAAAAAAAAGAACCTTTTTTGGATATATATATATATATATGTGAATCAAGTGTATATAAACTTTTATCAACTTTAGCATATAAAACAACTCCAAAAGCATCAGCTATTAATTTTCTGCTATTGGCCTAGCTCCATCATTCCTTCAAAGACCATATTAGGTCAGAGAAATGAAAGTAAAAAACCCTTTCATCACCATCTATATATCTTAATTTTAAGTATTTATAAAGTGATGAATAAAACTTAAAAAATGCTGGCATGGAAATTGGAATGGAATAAAGTAGTCACATGCATATATAGCATTGCGAGTGCGTATGTATAGAAAAAAAAGAAAGAAAGAAAGAAAGAAAGAAAGAAAGATGGTTTATCTATCTATATTTTATCATTGTTAGTACTTAGTAGTAGTAATATTTTTGGTGTTAATGGAGTGGTCAGGGGGGACTATATATACATGGTGGAAGCAATCAAACTAATTGCTGTAGACACCCTACTCTGAAAATAAATAAAAGGATAAAATAATTTAAAAAAACAGAAAAGATAAAATAGGTGATAAGATTTGGTTTAAAATTCGATTGCTTTCTGAAATTAAAATCTAGATTGAATGGGATAGGATGCTCAGTTTCAAACTGAGATCCTATCCTCATCACCATTATTTAATCCATGGGCAGACCACCAAAAAGAGGGGCACTTGACAGAAGAAAGGAAGGGGAGGAGAAGCCAAACCTAGCTCTCTCGATCGTCCTCAGGCCTCAATCGAAAAATGGTCTCCATCAAAAATAGCCTTCATTTTCCATAGTCTCTTACACCTAAAAATCACCCATAACAGAACTTAAAAACACCACCTCTGCCTCTCTCTATCTCAACCGAATACACTGCCTCCACCACCATCATCTAAACCTCTCCCTCTATTGACCATCATCACCATTTTTTAAAGCTAAACCTAAACTGAATCACTACTCTACACGGCCACTGAAACCACCCTAGCCACAAAGTCTTGATAACAGGAACTGAAACCCATTGTGAACCCCATTTCAATCTTCACCATCCTGCCCGAAACCCACGCCCATAAATAGAGAACAAGGAAACCAGGCATCAACCCGCACGCTGACGGTGGAAACACCAATCTTCATCGACGACCGATCTTGTCTTCATCATCAGCCTCTCGCCGAAACATCCATCTCCTGTCAAAAAGAGAATCAAAAACAAAAAAAGAAGTCAGAAACATAAAAGTGAAAGGAAGAAAGGATGTTTTCTGGGGTGTCAGTTTAACAGTCTTCCTAGAGGCTTCGGCATTCCAAATTCAATAAAGAGACCGACAAGAGCAAGTGTAAGACCATACCTTGAAGCAGCGGCCATTGAAGCAGTGGAGCAAGGATGGAGGTTGCGACTTTCGAATGCAGATCTACAGTGATCTAGACAATTTTAGAAGAAATCAGCTGGAGTACAAGGAAGAAGAGATCGAGACGAGTTTGTGGCAAAATTTTGAAGTAGTTTTGGTGTCGATGAATGGCAGTATACGGAAGTGACGACGACGATCTTCACTGGATTCTGGGTTCTAAATGGCAGTGTTCATGGTTGTAGAGAGAGAGAGAAAGAACTGGCAAAATGAAGAGAAAAGCTTAAGAGAAGGCTTTTATGGGATCAATAAATCGATGTCGTTTTGGCCAGAGAAATCGGGTTCCCTTTGACCCGTTTGAGGGATCCGCACGTCAACCATTAGGTGACCCGATCCCGTCATTCAACCCGACGCAGTCCAACTCCTAGCCACTCTAATGGCCAGCCAAGCCACTCAGCTTGAGTGTGGAGCCAAGCTTGTCTTTTTTGAGCTAAGCCGCAAACTTCGGTATATATATATTTTTGCCTTGCTATTTATTTATTTTTCTTGAATAATTTTTATTCTAAAAATAATAATAAAAAAATAATTTCAAAATTTCAAGGAAAGTTAAAGAATTAATTTTTCTCAAAAACAAAAATTTTAAAAATATATATTTTAAAAAAAGTTGAAAGTATCAATTTTCTTTGAAAATCAAATTTTCAAAAAAAAATATTTTAAAGAAAAGTTGAAAGTATCAATTTTATTTGAAAATGAAATTTTAAAAAATATATATTTTTTAGAAAAAGTTGAAGGTATCAATTTTTCTTAAAAATAAAAACTTCAAAAAAAATATTTTTGAGGAAAAATTGAAAGTATCAATTTTTTTAAAAATAAAAATTTCAAAAAATATTTTTTTGAGAAAAGTTAAAAATATCAATTCTTTGTAAGGATTTTTTTTTCCATTCATTTTATTTATTTATGTTGCTAACTATGTCATTCATATGCATATGCATAATATGAGCTCTATACCCAAGCTCCATCTCTTTATGAAGGAATAAAGTACCTATACTTTCATAAGGTTCTAATGCCTCTACAGTGACTAAGGAAATACTCTCACTCAAATTAAATTTTTTTCGCTTATAGCATGTAATAAGCGAGGATTAGGGTGCCTTACTAATCTGTAATGGACAATGATATAAAGACTAATTTGAGAACCTTTAGACTATCAACCTTAAATCACATATAGTGAGCATAAAGAAACCTAACTTGTAGTTAGAGCTTTACCTTTCCCTTTCGTAGAAAAATCCAACAGCTAAATTATATTTTTACAATGATTGATTTTTCTTGAGTGGAAATTAACTGTTTTATATGTCATGTTGCATAAATTGTCATGATAAGATGCATGTTAGTTGAATCTTTTTTTTTCTTTCATTTAAAGCAAGACAACATTAGGCTGCATATATTTTTGGCATTCATTTCGCATATGTTAACTTGAAATCATGTTAAGATTATTTTTATAGTCTTGCTTTCATGACATGAGCATGTAATAATGCAAGCATCTTAATTAGTTGCAATCAAAGGTTCAAGGATAGCTTGATCATCCACAAATTCAAGCCAACCTGCACGTCACCCGTATAACACTCGATCACGAACAAGGCAAATGGAACAAGAACAAAGTACCTATATGGACAAGATCAAGAAAGCTCACAAGGAGATAAAAGAGAAGTTAGCAAAGATGATAGAGATGCTAGAGAAATTAGATAAAGATAAAACAGTAAAAGATACCCCAAATTCAAATGAAAAGCAAGATATTGTGGATCTTCTACACCTTTCGGGGTTTTACCCAAATCAAGGTCAATTTCTTCCAAATACACAAGCCCCATGGATGTTATTTTCTAAGGCATATCCTGAAGTACCATTTCATAGTTACACTAACCTTACCCTTGGGGCGAAGGTGTATGATCAAATTGAGGTCCCTAATTTTGATGATTTTGAGAGAAAGAGGGAGAAGACTTATAAAGTGATGAAAAACCCAAGCATGCAACAAATGAACCTTTTAGAAGAGAGAATGTGAGCTGTCGAAGGAATGAATTATTTTGGCTTTATAGATGGAACTAAACTATGCTTAATGCCAGATGTGATCATCCCACCAAAATTTAAAGTCCCCAAATTTGA